CTTGTAAAACCTTTAAAATACCTTGTAAAATTTTCCCGTACAAATTTTTCCCGCCAAAAAAATTTTCCCGCCAAAAACTTTTTTTGCGGGAAAAGTGATTCCGCAATTTTTTTGGCGTTAAATTTTTGGCAGGAAAAATTTACAAGGTATTTTAAAGGTTTTTTACAGGGTATTTATAAGGTTTTATAATGTATTTTAAAAGGTTTTACAACGTATTTATAAGGTATTTATAAGATATTATAAGATTTTACAAGCGATTTTATAAGGTTTTACAAGTTTTTTATAAGGTTTTACAAGTTATAAATACCTTATAAAACCTTATAAGTACATTGTAAAACCTTTTAAAATACATTGTAAAACCTTACAAAACACTTGTAAATACTCTGTAAAACCTTTAAAATACCTTGTAAATTTTTCTCGCCAAAAAAATTTCGCCAAAAAAATTGCGGAATCACGTTTCTCGCAAAAAACTTTTTTTTTGGCGGGAAAATTTTTTGGCGGAAAAAAGTTTTACGAAAAAATTTTACAAGGTATTTTAAAGGTTTTACAAGTTTTTACAAGTGTTTTGGCGAGAAAATTGCGGGATCACTTTTCCCGCCAAAAAATATTTTATATTTTGTGGATCTAATTTTGTTTCAAATAAGGGTAAAATGGTCATTAAAAATTAAAAGCGGGTTCTTAAAAATGGACTCTCAAAGGGGGCATTTTTGAAAAGGGGTATTGAAAAGGGGTATTTTTAACAATTTCTCTTTTTTTAAACTAAAAATTTTAAATTTTAAGTTATATTTTTTTTGTTTATATTGTTTAGTATTTAAGATTATATAATTATATTTTTGTTTTTAATTCTAGGTTTTATCTGTGGTATATTGTCATGTATTAATATCGACCCAAACCCATCCCACCATATAACCCCGATTTGTATTCAGAATCATTTTAGTCTTGTTATAATATGATTTTGAACTATTGCCCAATTTTTTAAGCAATATGGGACATTAGACACATATTTTTTCTTCATTGATTGTGTAATATGTCCGTTTTAAAAAATTTGAATCACATTATATACAGAAAAAATCTATTATTTTATTAATTATATTTATTTTATATAAATTCAAAATAAGTTACTATAAGATCATATAAAAGCGAAAGAAGAATCATATATTAATGTTTAAATTAGGTAGAGATGTTTTAGAAAAATTAGCAATTAATCGAATTTAGAAACAAAATTAATTTGTTACCATATTTGGAAGCCACATTTTCTAAAATATTTTTTCGTTAATAGATAAATATTTATGACAATGATATTTTCTTGTAAATAAGTGTCAACTCCAAGATTTATTTCATGTACCTTAAAAATGTATACATATAACTTAATACTTGTATATAGCTTATAATGTAATTATAGCTCATACTTTAGAGAGTATAAATACTCTTTGTACACACATTTACCAATTAATGTGAATTAATCTTTTTCCTTATCTCTCTAACTTTACTAATCTAATCTTACCGTGATAAAAATGAAGTGACATATACCTTGGTAACGTGTATATTGTCTGCAATACATGTTTTACTTAGCTAATGATCACGTGTCTACCATCGTCAGTTTTTTTTTTTTTTTCGAACCATCATCATTGATTTAGAATTTATGAAATCAAAACATTATTTAGCTTTCAAAATACAAAATCACAATCGTTTACATTTGTCGGTCTATATAAAAATCTCGAATTATGTCTTCTGAAATTTCCCTTTCTAAATCGACAATACATTGAATGATTAGGAAGTTAATTAGGATTTAGGACAATGGATTAATGGACCCACCCATTTCCCCACCAATTATTATTGACTCACGAAATTAACACTATTCATAAATTAATTAGTTTCTGACAAAAGTACAACTTCGTAGGACACATCAGAACCGGTTTCAGATCCAATAGTCGGAAACCGATTATGGTTCATGGTCCAAATCATAAAAATGGGCACGTTCGTCCATGTGAGCCTGGTCTGGCCTCACCCCTGCATTCATGGCTCTCATCTCGACCGTTTATTACCCTCAACGTCAGCCCTTCGATCTCCGGTCACCGGTTAGTCTTGCGCCACCAATTTCTAGAAAGCCGTAGTTTCCAATTTTTGGTCTAATTTGTGAACATAGCATAATCACACATCACATCATCGTAGAAAGTGAAACAAAATATTTGGAATGATAGTGGAATGGAGTATTAAAAATCAGTTTTACATAATCACAAAATAGATGGAGGGATAACTTGTAAGGGACTTGTAATTGATAATAACTTGTAGTCCCTCTGTCCTTAGTTATTTGATGTTTTGAGTTTTTACTCGTTCCACCAAAATTGATGTTTTGTAAAAAAACAACATCATTATTTTTATTTATGATCAATAGAGAAAAGAAAAAAGTAAAACTTTCATTATTAAACTAATAAAATAATAATAAAAAATATAAAAATTATTTTTTTCTTAAATTACGTGCAAAACTCAAAACATCGTTCTTTTATGAACTGAGAGAATAGTATTGTGGAATCATTCCACTTTTTGTGGGCCACTCACTAATCAAACCTTTTATTTTGGGTACATCAACGTGCCATAAAATTACAAAGAACGAGAAAATATGATACTCCCTCTATTCCTAGAATATTGATTTTCTAGAGATTTCACATATTTTAAGAAACAATCATTGTTTAATTATTCATTTTATTTAATATTTTTTAATAAACTATGAACCAAGTATTCTGAAACAGTTAATCATTACGTTTTGGAATCTACGATTTATTAATATCAATTAATTAAAAATAAAGAAAAAATAAAGAAAAAATCCAGAAAATCAATCTTTGTGGAACAAACCTAAAACACTATAACATCAAACTTTTAGGAACAGAGGGAGTACTATCATAGAGATTTTGAGATATCAAAACTCAGAAGATTTTTTTTTTCCAATCTATCAAATGGGAGACCTAGGGTTGGAAAATTGATATCTAGTTTAAAGTGGACTAAAATCCATATAAATTTACATTTTAATCTACCTAGAATATGATTGGTAACTTATGGAATGATGTAATAATAATGTGTTTCCATAAGTTTTCCCCCTTTTTAGTAAAATCGTTTTCCACTCATCAATTTTGCGATTTTGCATGATTAATTGTAAATATATCTATGAAACTTATTTTCTACGGATTCTTAAATAAATCAATATAGTTATTTATATATATGATATATCTATTTATTTTGTCAATATAGTTCCCTAGTAAACGTCTCCCTATAAACTAATATAAAATTTAGAACCATAAACTAAATTTCTACCGTACGTTGTTCCATAATTTATTATCAAGATACACAAAGACCTAAAAGTCTAAAGTCTACCGATATCTTGGTACGCTAGCTTAAGATAGACGTTTAATGTTCTTATAATATACTACTGCAATAGATTAGCCATTTTAAGAAGTCTAGGGATTGAATTCGGTTAGTTATATACTATATTACCAATTTTAATTAAGCACATGATATTTCCATTGCGGACGATTTGTATACATCCTTATACGTACCCGAAACCGAACCAAATACATTCTAATTATTGAGATATATACAAATGATTAGACCAATATTCTGTTTCTGAATAATAGAATGTTAACGCTGTTCATACATTACTCATAGTAACCAACTATACATTAAAACACAAACATTAAAGTATATACAAGTATGGACATTATATAGAAATATAGATAAGAGCCCTGAAAAAATGGTGACCATAAAAGAGGGAATCACATGGCCTTTTCTGAAGCCATGTGCTGATCATGATAGCTTTTATATAATCATTTATCTCATATCGCTATTTGACATTTCTTACCATGAATTCTTTGTTTTTCCCCACTCTAAATATTGTACTAGTATTTTGGTAGTATAATATTAGTGTTGACAAAATGATATAATAGCATTTATAAAAGCAGCTATTTGTGTTCTTGTGAGTGTCTAATGAGTAAATGACTAGTTATATTGTTGTTGCCCACATTGTTCGATTATCAAAAAGTCAACATTTTAATTAGTCCTTATCAATAAGTATGTGATTATCTACTTGATAATCATTTCAATTGTAATTAATGTGTCCCGAGTCCCGACGAGCCATTAACTTTTATTACACTCCACAACTTTCTTTGGGGATAATTTTCATGACCTTGCTAATTTTACACATCACGAGATTGTCCAGTGAAACTTAGGTTTTAGTGAGAGTTGATATAATTAAGAAAGGTTCATATTCTCCAGCCTCCAGGTTTTAGTATATATGAGTTCAGTTCTAACTTTCTAATGCAGAAATTGATTTCTTATTATCAATAGTATTACTATATAAAGACCGACAACTTAAAAGCAGCAAGGGAAAATTTGATTTACCTAAAAAAATTTACTCTAGTAAATTTCAAACACCCAAATGATTGGACCATGTGATAAAGTATAAGATCAATACCAAATTATAATCACCCACTCTAATGATTAACCTTCATAATGGTATACTCATTAATTATTATGATGATTATGATCTTAGAACATCAAATAAACTTTTAACTTTTACAACGAGTTTTTATAATTTTATAGATAATTGTGATTATCATGCATGTGGTAACTAATCTATACTCTCTTTGACAAAAAAAAAAAAAATCTATACTCAATTGGCAACATAAGATATTAATGGTAATATCAATTTTAGCTGAAAAAATCATTTGAAACATGTCTATCTCGTTAGCCAATAAATTTATTTGAACAAAAAATGAAATTTAATGTTAGTACTGAATTGATTTAAGTTGCCCATTATAGTTAGACAATGTTTTTTTAAATGATTGAATTCTAACAAGGGTTTCGAATTTATAGATCTTAGGCATAGACTTTATTAATGTTTTGAAGAAATTGATTTAATTTTGTAGGTCAATTCTAGTGGGCCTGTGATACACCCCTAAAGTTTCAGGCCCAAGTATCTTAGGTCCGAACTTGTTTACCAACTGCAATTTACAAAAACGCTAAACATGTAAACGCTAAATTATCCAAAGAAACAATTGCAGTCAATCTAATAAAAGAAACCATAACAATCTTAAACGTCATTTTACCTTCCTGTTACTATGTACAACCACTTCTTTAAACATTAGTCTCAAGATCAATGGTGATGGAAACCTAAATTAAAAGATGTTTTTTTGTTTTCTTTCCCAAATCTCTAAGAGAGATCAATACCGGCAACTTTTGCTGGTTCCGCTCTTTCCGTCAAGTTTTCGCCCAGCTCCACGCCGAGCTGCCCTCTGTTCCCAGCCCCGAATGCATAGAGTGTCCCGGACTCGGTCATTGCAAATGTATGACCAGTCCCATTCCCCGAGTTTGTCAAACTCACATGTACCATACGCTCTTTTGTATCCTTCAACGATGAAACTAGCTTCGGGGTCAGAGTATTTTCATCCACATCATCCTGTTAAATCCCGATTATCAAGACCATTGTCTCAAGTCTGAAACCAAGAAAACAAGGAAACACAGACTTACCTGCCCAAGATTGGCTCCGCCAGAGCCAAATGAGTAAACCTGACCATCATCAGACACAACAAAGGTTGTGTACACTCCAGTGGCGACATGCACGGCTTTAACATCCTTCAATCCGTCTACAACCTTAGGAGCATTTTCTGCCTCTTCCGTTCCGTGACCCAAGCAACCAAACCGACCCCAACCCCACGTGCAGACTCGCCCATCTTTCCCAACTACAGCAGCATGCCATGGCCCTGCTGAGACCATAACCGGTTCAATGTTTAAAAGACCAAACTTCTTAATCAAACGAGGATATTTCTCACTGGCATCAGAATCAGATAAACCATGCCCAAGCTTCCCACCCAAACCGCATCCAACTGAGTACACCGACCTACATAAGAGCAAGAAAATGGCAATAGTAAGCACATATAAACTGGGTTAAGAACAATGGAGACGTTACAAGGACTCACATGCCGGTGGGTTGAAATGCTAAAGCAAGGAGATAACAAAAGCCAGCAGCAATTTGCACGACTGGGATGTTCTCCAAGGCGCCCAACAGAGGTTGAGGCAACGAACAGCTATGGTCAGTTTGGTGACCGAGTCTTTCATCGTTTCCCCATGATAATGTATAGACTCTGCCTTCTCTCGACAAAATCGCCGTGAAGTAATTTCCTATCGCGGCTTGTACCACAAAGATTTCCGCCAAGGACTTGACCCGCTGGGGAGTTGTGATTAGCTTAGTTTCTGGGACCTCTAACTTAGCTTCGCTAAAACAAACTTTTCCAAAGGCATAAACTTCACCAGCATCACTGATTACAAATGTTCTATCAGTGCTAATAGCTGCCTGAATGATCCGGATCCCGTTAAGTGATCTGCAACACAATGTACCTCCAATGAACTCAACATTTCTGACTATTAGACCAAACTGAATCATCAGAGAAATGAGTAACCTGACTGGTAGAGGCTGCCAAGAGTCTTGAGTGGTTCCCTGACCGAGTTGTCCTGAACCATTAAATCCGAAGGAGTAGACAACGCCCTTTGATGTCACGGCAATGCTGTGACCAGGACCTGCAAGTGCTTGTGATTTCTCTCGCCTGCAACCAAATTCACCAGCCAGCAAGAACTTTAAAACCAGCTTCCACGAGCCTCCGCATCTCCTTTTGATTTCTTGGCGTTCTTCCTCTCCCATACATTTAAATATCGCCCTCTTTTGGCAAATGTCGAGAGCTGCAACTTCTGAGATCGAAAGGTCAAAGTCGGGAGAAAAGTTTGCCGGCTTCCTGAAGAAGGAGCAGGTTGCCTGAGGGTAATAAATCAAAATCAATCAGATAGCATCAACACACATAAAAGACAGAATAAAACCATGAAAGAAAGTTGAGCATCACTTGCCTCGAGTTTCGCAAGGTCCCGAGGACCCAAATCACATGTTGTGAGAACATGAAGGACAATGGAAGGACAAGAAGCCAAGAAAAATTCTCCAGGAACAGAACTACCAAGGCATTGGCGTTTCAGACGCAGAAACGGAGGAAATGACAACTCCAGTGCCGCGATCGGATTCTCCGGGATGATGCTATGGAGTTGTAACGTAGCAGGGCTACTACCACTTGATGTAGTAGTATCCATTGACCACTGCTCAACTTTTGCAGAGCCCAAAACGTTTATATAACTCACTAAAAACCACCAAAACCATCATTAAACTAGTGCATTGTTCACTCCAATGATCCTAACAACCAAAATCTTCAGACATATACACACATATAGTAACAAAAAGAAGCTACCTTTGAATGCTAAGTGATGATGATTGAAGACACCGAGACAAAATGCTGTTCATGTTTAGCCAATAAGATCACAAAAGAGATCATCATCAAGATCAAAACTTTATAGTCCAGTAAATACAAACAATGAGATCATTAACTGATTCCACAAAAACACACTAAACAAATCCAGATCAGAACCATCATCAACAACAACAACAGCAAAGGAGAAACCATTGTTAATAAAATATTAAGCGATCACAAATTACAAAATTGTATATCTGAAGATCATGATCGTGATCGTTGATCAAGGATCATCAACATATACAAATCAAAAGAATAAGGATTACAAGCCACACAATTTCATCAAAATTACATTACCAGACTTTGAGACTCACAAGTTGGACCAAAAGAGAGATAAAAAAGAGAGCTTTTGTTTATGGGTTTGTGCCTTTGTGGTGGAATGAAATTACAGAGAAGGAAAGGAAGGGACTTTAATCATTTATTCGTCTCCGTGAATTTCTATAAAGAAAGTTTTCATTTGGGTTTTGATGGAGACGAAGAAACGATTGATGATGAGGGTAAAGTTTCAATCTTTATATATATCTATACGTTTTCCACAAAGGGGTGATTAGGTGTCTGCGTAGTAACACACATGGAAATGAAAATAGGATACAAGTCCACTTGTAAATAAGCCCAAATCCATACTTCATTTTTTTTTTTTTCACTGGAATTGGATTATATTGATATTAGAACTGCTGCATAACCTTAACAAAATAATAGGTTAACATAAAGAAAGGTATACACCATTAGGACATAATGTCCTACATCGGAAGTTGGAAGGGATCCTAAGTAATATATAAGGGATATGGGCCACTCCACTCATTCCCAATTGGTTTTGAGTTGGAAGCCCATATTCTAATATGGTATCAGAGCCCGATCCGACCCAAAGATGGTCCAATCATCGACAAGGCCCAAAATTGATGCCGTCGATCTAAGCCCGAACATTCCGAGATTAATGGCCAAAGAGCCATCATCTCGAGGGGGCGTATTAGGACATTATGTCCTAATATACACATATACCAATCACCAAAAAAAGAGTTTGCAGAAAGATCAAACTAGAGAAGAAGATGAACCCACACTGCTGCTTCTTTCTTCCTCAAAAAGATGATGTAGCCAACGAGGATGTCCTGAAGCAACATAAGACTGAACTCTGTCCTCCTTCACAACACTTTGAGCAATCAAGGAAGCACCTCTATTTGCCAAAAACTTCTCCTCTAAAACATTCCAAACCACAATCTTTCCCAAAAAATGAAGTAATTCAGAGACTTGATACCTAAAAGAAGGCCAAGCATTTGGTCTGTTGAATGCCGATAACAAATCTCCTGGTTCAAAGACAAACAGAACCCTAGACATCTTATGACTATGCAAACATTCAATAGCCCAAATGACACTTTTAAGTAGCGCATCACTTCTGTTAGTAACATCACAAAGAGCCCGTCTACTATGTAACAACACCACCCCATGTTCATTACGCAAAACCCAAGCACTCCCACCTAAATCTTTTTTCCCTGACCAAGCAGCCCCAATGTTGCATTTAACCCATCCTGGAGGAGGCGGCTACCAGGGAGAAGGAACAGGCACAACAAAAGGTATTGCACCAGATTCAGAACTACCAATACAATGAGTTTCAGTGGAGTTAATCTGGGATTGCGCAATGGACCACTCATGCGCATCTTCCTTGATCTTTTCAAAGGAAATTGCAGGACAAAAGTGAGTACCCTCAAAACATAACTTGTTTATATTTTTCCACAGTCTCCAAAGGACCCAAGGCCACAGCCTTCTTATTTGAGCAGGAACCAGAAAATTCTTTTGAAGCTCAAATAAGAACTGCATATTAGCAAAAATAGCACTCCTACCAAAGCCAAATTCTGGAGTTGGGACACCAGAAATAGCCCACAACTGACGTGCCACAGAGCATGTAAAGAGTACATGATTTATGGATTCTCCATCTTCTCCACACATCTGACACCTTGGATCACTTTTCATACCTCTATGAATAATCTGATCAGCTACTGGCAAAGCAGCACACAAAGCACAAATCCATACTTCATTTATTGTTTGAAATTAACCAAAAATAAAAGAAATAAAATCATTTCACACATTTGTATTAGAAAAGCAACAACATATCTATCAAAATTTTTAGTTATTTATTTATATCCAATTGCCAAAAAAAAAAAAAAAAACAGATACATAACTTTTTTATGATTGGGCCGAAACCCATATATATCTTTCTTTCAAAATTTTCTATACTCACCATTTTTTACTTTCTCTACAATTTCGATTTCTGGACATTTTTTTAATAAAAAAAGGTCTTCCCTCAAATTGATTAACATAATTTGACATATGGAATCAATTTGAGCTAAGCTGGTTTTTCTTAAAAAGTTGTTTATGATAGCTCATGTAGTTATCTGATTAATAAACAATGCATATGTTTAGTTTATCGAAATCATATGACAAAAATGAAATAAAGGCTTAACAGGTTGTGTGATCAAATTGTTAGAAACACTTACCAATGAAGGAGATTACGATGACGATTTTCTTGGATCATATAATCTATTGGATAAAAATGAAGTGGTGATAGTGAAAATATAGGAAAAATTAGAGTTTTTTTTTTATTGAAATAAAACAGCTTTGTTTTACATTATACATTGCAATATACAATGTCAAAAATGTGATGAAGGTTAACAAACACTTTTCAATAACCATAAACCAATAATGTATGGTTAAATAGCTATAAACACTTACCAATAGAAGAGATTACGATGAAGTATTTCTTGAACATGTAGTTAGTATATTATATAAATAAAAAAGTGAGGCAGCTATAGTAAATATATATAAATCAAAAATTGTGTTTTTATTTAATTAAAACGACTTTGTTTTAAATCATTGAAATATTTTCAAATTTGCTTTTAAACAAAATTAAAACAACTTCATTTTAAATCATTGCAATATATTCAAATATGCTCCCTAATAATACAAATAAACCACATAAGGTCTGACTGGATGACGACGTTGGTAGAAGAAAAGAAATGAAAAAACAAAAAAATCTTTTCATATGTATTATCTTTTTACCAGTTAGGAAGAAAAACAAAACAGTAAAAAAAAAGAAATAATTCTTCGAGAAAGCAAAAACAAGTAGAAATTATTCTGCCCACTAAAAAGCAAGTTGAACCATATCCTCTAGATAAGTGGCACATTTTCCAAAATGATAAATCAATTTTTAAATTTTTTTTAGGGTTGTCGGGGTGTAGCCCCATCAAAAGTTTCGTTTAAGTCCACAACCACATGAAACTTTGTCCTCTTCCTCTAGCTACACAACGAAACTTATACAGTGTGTATCTCCACACTTTTTTTATATTCAAGTTTGAACCCCATCATCGTTAATCACTAACGACTTCCGTCTAATCCCCTTTTAAACCGGATTAAAATTCATCTAAACCAAAAAACGCAATTAAAACATGATCTGGTTTCAGACCCGCCAATACAACCATATTTTTGAACCCTCTCACATGCTCAGAAGGTTTCAAAATCGACGTTTCATTGTTATTACCCAATTCGGTTAAGATTTTGAACACGAACACAACCGTAATTTACAGAGAATTTATGAAATCTGAAAGTGAACCTAATCATGTCATAGATAACACCATTACATGATGATTTGAGTACCAAAATGATAAAAGCTGAAACATAGTTCAATTCTAAAAAAGGCCAAAATAGAGAGAATTTCTTCTTTGCCGGCCAAAAAGGCTAACTAATTCTACACTTGATGCACTTGTGATTCTACGCTTGATCCACTTGAGACATGAGCTCTGTAGATTGACTTCCTGAACCTTCACCATGAGTCTGATTATAAAAGAACAACAGTCATTAAAACCAATATAAACGAGCATAAAACAGTCGGTGTAGAATGACTTACCCGTTTTGCTCTTTTGGCACATGACCTAGAATTATGACCACCTTGTCCACACTTCTTGCAGTGCATTATCCTCTTAGGTTTTGTCTGCGATGGAGACCCAATTTCCTTATCCTTGTTGTTCTTCTTATTCTTCTTACTCTTCTTTTTGGATGGAGACTCATTAATTCCTTTCTTTCTTTTCTGTTTCTTATCCTTCTTCTTTCGTCCAAGTTGTAGTGGCTCGGGAGGTTGAGTCACCAGTGCTACGTCACCACGAGCCCAATAATTTGAACCTCTTTGTGGGATCATTGCCTCATTATATGTCTCTCTTAAGCGAGATGTGAGAAACCAATCCGACACATAATCATCTGGATTAAGGTTGTTTTTCAATATCACTCCATAGGCATGCTGACATGGGATCCCACATATATCCCACTTGCAACAAGTGCATTTCTTTAGTGTCATGTCTACCCGCTCTGACTGCCCACTAATTTTAACCTCAAACTTTCCACTAGTGCATGGCCATATTGTGCACTTTGCAGCATCTTCATGCTCTTCATCAAGGAATTTCTGGACATATGTTGTGAATTTTCCTGGGTGACTATTAGCAATGGCTTTTCTCAAAGAAATGCGTGTCATTTCTAGTCTCCTGATAGTCTCCAACATTGGCATAACTGGTTTTTCCCTTGCTTTTCCAATGCTATTGTTGAATGATTCAACTGTGTTGTTCTCAACGTCTTCACAACATTTTCCATCTATCTTGTAAAAAGCTCGGCACCAACTCTTCGGGTTAGAGTTCATAACATCATTGTAGACACCTTCGTCATACTCTTTCAGCCTTTCCAGATTGTTTTTATATTGTTTTTCATTGTAACTCCATGCCAAATTCCAGATGAGTGGTTTCATATCCATCTTTTTTCCATGATTTGCCTTCAAATTTCCGTAAATGTGTCTCACACATTTCCTATGCTCAGCTTTTGGTAACTCTGTCGCTACAGCTTTTATCAATCCCTAGAATATCCAACATGAGAAAAAGACAGGATCAACAAACAAGAACATCAAATCAAGCAACATATCTAATTAACAAACAAGTAGATGACATACTTTTTGTCGATCTGAGGTTATGATGAAGCCGTCACCATCTTTAAGATCCAAATCAGACTTGATCATTCTAACAAACCACATCCAATTATTCTCATTCTCGACTTGTACTATAGCCCATGTTATTGGATACATTTTGTTACACGCATCTCTACCTATAGCAACTAGTAGCTGACCTTTGAGTGAGCCTTTGAGGAAAGTACCATCAACACCGATGAGAGGACGACATGTCTCTTTCCATGAATTTCTGAGGATGTCAAAACAGACATAAAACCGATCAAAGAGATCTTCACCATCTGGTCCAGCGACAGTTTCGATTGCCACAGTTGAATCTTTATTAGAGTCAATAATCTCTTTGCAATAACCTCGAATATGTGCAAACTGATCTTCATACTCTTTCTTGATCCATCTCAATACTTTCTTCCTAGCTTCTTGACATTGATTCCTTGTCACAACTAGCTTCCACTGCTCCTTGATCATTTCCTGAATTTTCATGGGCTTATAGTAATCGGGATCTTGTCTAATCTTGTCCAAAAACAGACGTGCAATAATCGGATCAGTCAACATCTCACATTCTCCATTTCGATTGCAGGAATGATAAGTATGAAAAACTTTCACTTGCCATCTGTTCAAGCTCTTACTTATTGAGCAATATATCCGCCAATTACAATTCTCCATAGCACACTTATATCCAAGAATTGTTTGATCCCACTTATACTGTTTAATGTTGCGGCCTTCCTTGAGAGCATGATCCAACACAGCCTCTTTAAACGCAACACCACTGCAAAATACTTGTCCAAAGTGTAAATTTCCATCTCCTCTTCCTCTGAGCATTCTTTTTCCTCTGTTTCCAGTAACCACTACAACATCTTCATCGTCACTGTCGCTATCCGGATAAACATCATGTCGTATCGAAATCTCATCCCTGAACAAAGATACAGAGTCTTCAACTTCTAAGTGAAACCTTTCCATAACTTCGTCATAACATTCAACATCATAATCACTTTCATCAGAATCGCTTTCTTCTTCATTAGGAGTAGCATAATCTGGGTCACTAGGATCGCTCTCATCTTCAACCATCTTGAGATTTCTCTCTGGTTCAGCCTCATCATTATCGTCACTAGAGAACATCAAAATTTCGAGACCAAAATTAAAATTTTTGTGGTACAAAACAAAACGAATTAGGATTCAAATCTCTTACCTCATTGCAACCTTAAATCGAAAAATTCTCTCTCGATTAAGAGCTACTCGACGAAATCTTCTCTCGTAGATTTAGGGTTTGGAATCACACATATAGGGTTCGTGCGTGGGTATGAAATTGAAATCAAGTTGGTGTCTGTGTTTCCCCCTTTAATGAATGTCAATTTTGAAACCTTCCCCACTGGTGAGAGGGTTCGACATAAGTGTGGTTGTGTTGGGTCGTGTTTGAACCGGGTTGAATCTGATATCGAGTGTTGTATAATTTGCATTTTTTGGTTTTAATAAATTTTAATCCGGTTTAGAAATAGATTAGACGGAAATCGTTAGTAATTAACGATGATGGAGTTCAAACTTGAATATCAAAAACCGTGGAGATACACACTGTATAAGTTTCGTTGTGTAGCTAGAGGAAGAGGACAAAGTTTCATGTGGTTGTGGACTTAATCGAAACTATCGATGGGGCTACACCCCGACAACCCATTTTTTTATAAACAAGTGAAGGAAGCGAGAGAGAAATACTTTGCTTATAAATAGGAGTATTTGTTCTCATAGTTTACACACTCCATTGCAAATGTTTTATCCATCCAAAAAACAATCTTGAGAATTTTTTTTTGTTAAATTGTTTAAATTTAATATTTCGACAAACATAAGCCTCGACGAGAGTGTTGCAATCTTTCTAATCATTTGTGCCCAAAATGATACACAAGGTGATATTGCACTAAGGTTTGGGCATGTCCAGGAGACAATTTGGCGAAAGTTTCATTATGTTCTTAAAGCAATGGAACGGTTGGCTGTAGAATATATACTTCCCAGAACAGTCGAAGAACTTAGAGCTATCTCCAACCGTTTGCAAGACGATACAAGATATTGACTTTTTTTTAGTGGATTTGTTGGTGCACTTGATGGAACACATGTACCTGTTATGGTTACACCAGGTCGAGAAGATCTCCGATTTATAAACAGAAAGGGAATTGCAAGCTTCAATGTTATAGCCATATGTGATTTTGACATGCTTTTCACATATTATTTTGTTGGGATGGCAGGATCTGCCCATGATGCACGTGTTTTGGCGGCTGCGATAAGTGATGATCCACTGTTTCCTGTACTTCCATAAAGTAAATATTATCTTGTAGATTCTGGATATGCTAATAAACGCGGATATTTAGCTCCATACCGAAAAGAACATAGAGACGGCATAAGATATCATCTCCAAGAGTTTATTAACGGTGAGCCTCCTCGAAACAGTAAGAAAATGTATAATAGATGGCATGCATCATTACGTTCTATTATTGAACGAACATTCGACTTATGGAAGAAAAAATGGAGGGTTCTAAATGAATTTTCGAGGTATGAAATGACTACACAAAGAAGTGTTATATTCGCGACAATGGGTCTGCATAATTTTATTCGTCAGCATAATATTAAAAACTATGGGGGGTGTATTCAATAAAGGATTTGAAATGATTTGTATTAAAAAAAATAAATCATATGTTATTCAAACATGAATTTTAAAAATCTTTTTAAAATCAAGTGTTATTGGATTAGTGATTTTAAAATCTACAATCAAATCCACTGTTATTAGAAACATTTTAAGTTGTGGATTTGAAATGACTTGAGTGATTTTTGGTAGGATTTCATAGAACATCTTAGTTAAAAATTCAAATATCCAAATCTCATGGTTTTAGGTGGGATTTGGGAGAGTTTTGATATCAAATTCTCTAATTCACCAAAATTCACCAAAATCATCTCAAAACTCATTAAAACTCAAATCACTCCAAATTATTTCTTCAATACACCCCCCCAATGACTTTGACAGTATTGATTCCGAGAATGATGTTGTACAAGCTCAACATGATATGGCAGATAAGTCAGATAACAATGATAGTGTTAGAATCAAAGAATCATCAGAGGCAGGAATGTATATGCGGATAGTTCGTGATCATATTGCTAAAAACATATGGTCAGTAAAAAGATATGGATCTCGGCATCGTCGGTAGAATTTAAATTATGTTTAAAAAAAAAATATTTTGTTTAATTGAATAATGTAATCTTTAGAACTAGAGCATGATTCACAATAATTCTATAATTTTAATTTAATTTTTATAGATTTAAAATAATAATATTTAAATTTTTATCAATTTTTCTCAATTACTCTCATTAACCACCAATCAAATAAAAAAAAGTTCATCTTTCTTTTCTTCTCTATTCTTCTACTTATTACTTCTCTTTTCTTTTCAATTTTTCTATTACCCACCAATCACACCCATAGATTATAATGTTTTTCTTTCTGCACTAAATTATAATGTTTAGAAATCACAAATTAGGCTCCAAAACCAATTCATTTTCATTCAACTGCTAAAACGACTTCGTTTTAATTATACATTGCAGTTTATCCAAATCCATTTCATATCAACAATGCACCTTAACCAAAATTATAGGATTCCTTTTTGCCTGCAAATTACAATGATTTTTTCTACAGTCAAATTTCAATATTGTAAAATGAATTAACCTCTTAAATTTCTTTTTCTTTTGACACTATCAACCTCTTAAGTCTATTGGGAAAGGAAAAAAACTCCATTGGAGATGCAAACATATTATTTGGATATATTGAAATATAAGTCATTTGTTGTCCTTATTATGACATAAAAATTAAAATTAAAATTTGAGAAGGGAAGTGATAAGAAAAAGAGAGTAAGGTAATAGAATCAGTGGCTCAAATCTCACCAAAATCTCCAACTCACTTCTCATTGGATAAGACAACTATCAAGAAGCCTTCAATTTCCATTGGTCCTCCTCTCTCCTTCTATAATCCCAAAAACCATCTCACAAACTCCTCAAACCTCTCTTCTCATCTTCAAGCCATCTCCGATCATCAGACAATGGCAGCAACTATGGCAACAGCAACCAAGTGCATGTCTCTAAACCCATCTCCTCCTAAACTCCAAAACCAAACCAAACCCAAACCATTCATCTCCCTACCAACCCCACCAAAACCCAACGTCTCTCTCGCCGTCTCAAGCACCGCTCTAGCCGGAGCCGTCTTCTCTTCTCTCAGCTACTCCGAGCCAGCTTTAGCCATCCAACAGATCGCCCAGCTCGCCGCAGCAGACGCCGGTAGCGACAACCGTGGCTTAGCTCTTCTCCTTCCTATCATCCCAGCCATTGCATGGGTCCTTTACAACATCCTCCAGCCAGCTATTAACCAGGTCAACAAGATGCGTGAGAGTAAAGGTATCGTTGTTGGTCTAGGTATTGGTGGTGGTCTTGCAGCGTCAGGGCTTTTGACTCCACCACCGGAGGCTTACGCGGCGGCAGAAGCGGCAGCAGCTGGTTCAGACAGCAGAGGACAGTTGTTGTTGATTGTTGTGACACCTGCACTACTTTGGGTTCTCTTCAATATATTGCAGCCAGCTTTGAACCAACTCAACAAGATGAGGTCTGGGGACTAAAATCTTATATATATAATTATATTATTATTAATCATCTTTGGGATTCAAATGTAAAATTAATCCTTTGTTTTATGGACAGTTTTATGTTTAAATTTTTGGACTAATATAATTTCTTTTATCGCATAATTAGTACTATAGACTCAGTTGTTAACTGTAATTAGGTTGCACTAATGATCCACCATCATTGATTTCTTGAACTAAGATTCTAGTGCATAGCTTCAGCTTCTAGGGGACTTGGAGTTGGTAAGTGATGCGTAACGCTTCATAATTTGCTGTCCATTTCTATTGTGCAATGACTATCCAATTCTAGCTTCTTGATCGTGAGCTATCTAAGAGGCATCTATGAAAACAAGAGTATCCAACCACGGAATCTTCGTCGGAGGTCCGCTTTCCGCTTCGGAATCTTAGTCGGAATCGGAAGCTCTTGGAAGCTTTCGGAATCTCGCTTCCATCGCGTTTCCAAAAATTCAACTTTGGAAGCTCGTTGGAAGCTTACGATTCCGGTTTGGAAGCTTGCGCTTCCATTTTATAAATTCAATTTTACAAATAAAACATGAAATTATTATTTTTAATCAAACAAACTCAAACTAAAAATTTTGCATACTAATCTTTGTATTTTATTTTTAACAAAATCATGTTTAGAAAATAGCAATGACATGAATCTAATATGTGAGAGATATTATAAATGATTAATTAATTTAAATTAATTTCGAGAGACTTGAGTTTGATCATATTTTTACCTATAATATACATAATTTGAAACGATTTTGTTTGATGTTATTTAAAAAAAGAATGAATATAGTGTTATAATTTTTTTCTTGAATTATTTGATTTTGTTTGTTGTAAAAATTGGTTTAATTTTTAAATTTAGTTTTTAAAATTTATTTATTAGATTTATGGGGTTAATATAACTTGTAATATGATATAATGTTTAATATATAGTTATATATATATACATATATATATATATATATTCTTTATATATACTATATGCTTCCATCGCGTACCGCTTCCGTAAAATTTTCTAAAAAATCGCTTCAGCGCTTCTAAACGATTCCGTTTCCGCGTACCCGCTCCCGTTTCCATGCAACATAGTTATGTAAAGAGTTGGTCCTAGTTTTAAGGGTTGCATCTCTTTTGAATCTTGTTGTATAGCACTATCATTACTCATGTCATGTGCTTACCTCCAGTGGCCTAAATCTCAAAGAGGACTCATTTCCTTGACCTCTCTGATGCATTTCATTCGTCTCCTAAAATCAATATTTTCTTCTTCTTTTAATGCTCATAGGTCACATATTGCTCTTATCTCGACTTAACACTTTCTTTACACAATTTGTGACAATATTTTTGTTTTCAAACCAGTCACATAGTATGTCGCTGGGTAATAATGCGGTGGGTATGGGGCTGGTACTTTTTTTTTTTTTTTTTGGTAAACCTTATCGGCTATCCGGTCGGTCCCGGTAGGAACGCACCGAGGTGCTACATTGTAGACTGGTCCACCGTGTTAACGGTTAGGCCCTTACGGGCTACCACTCTGCCTATCCCGAGTTTGGAATGCCTTCCGACTAAGTGCCAGGGGTAGTCAGGCCGTCTGCATTTCTGGCTACCATGTAAACCAATTGGGCCAATGCCCAACTGACAGACTTCCCAAACAAATGTGTTTTTGTTTCCAGGGAGAATCGAACTCAGGTTTGGTACTTACATCTGACCTTTATCCGCGACTCAAAAGCTATGATAAACTTTTTCGGAGACGGATACAAATCGGATAACTAATCAAAGACGGGTCACAGATATTAAGTCCAGCCCTATAATTAATGGATTGATGTCTCTAACAAATTAAGTTATACAACACCAGTGGCCACATGGTTGGTTGCCTAAGCATCACTTTTTTTTTTTTTTTTTTTTGACAGCGCCTAAGCATCACTGAAATACGTTACTTATTTATACCTGTCAACGTGACATAACGTCTGTTTTGTTTTGAGTTAAAGATTACCAATGTTACCGTTGACTATGGCAT